TAAAAAAAAATCCTGGATAACACTGGTAAAATGTAGGGAGAGGTGGTGAGTTCATATTCTAAAAGTTGAGAAAGGAACAAGACAACTATACCTTGTCTGCCCCTGCTCAGTAGAAATGAGAGAAAGTGAGAGTCCAAAAGAGGATCCTTTATAATAATACGTACCATGTCTGTAAAGGATTGAAAGAATGAAGGAGGAGCATTTACATCATTTGCCACTTTAAGAAATGTAGAAAAAAGATTAGAAAACTGACTCTAAAATCCTTGAAAAAGAATTAAGGCTTTGAAAATGCTTACTTTTGGTAAATACAACTTTGTATCGTTTTATAGATTCATGATCTTATTATCCGAAGTTGAGAAATCATCAGAGAAAATCATGGAAATAATGCAAAATTTAAGTAGTTTACAGGTATGTGGTTGTTTATTTTATTTTAAATATATATATAGCTTTGTACTTCTAACTTTTCATACATGCTTGGAAAAGAATCATAGGAAATAAGCTCTAAAATGCGAATCAAAGCCAGAAAAGTTTGCAGGGGAGAAGTTTAAAGGACTTTTCATGACTCTTTCTTTTCTTATATGAATGCTACTTAGCCATAATATGTTTAGTAGTATCTGACATTTTCAGATTTAAAAATAATTTGTAGATTATGTTTAGTCTTTAAGTAAGAATAAGTTCTTTCTACTTAGGCATTTTGGGGCTTGTAGTAGTTGACCTGGTGTGGTGCTGGTGTGGTGCTGTTAGATAAGCACTGGACTGCTAACCACAAGACCGGCAGTTCAAGCTCACCAGCTGCTCCTTGGTCTCTGAGTCGGAACCAACTCAGTGGCACTTAACAACAACAATAGTTGACCTACCAGAAAAGGTCAGTTTCCTAATGTAGAATATAAGTTTTTCAAATGAAAAAACAATAAAGTATTATCTAGATTGTAAGTCATTTTATATTTACAGAGAACTTAACTCATTCAAAATAACTTTCTTTTAGGCTTTGCAGGGCAGGAAAGAGTTCGAAAGCATCATTGGTATCTCCTGTGCACCATGTTTCTTAAAAAGAGAAATGCGAAAAACCAAAGAGCTAAGTAAGAATGACGAGTTTTCAAAAATAAAAAATTTTTCCCAAATTTAAATTTGATAGACTTATTTATATTTGCCAATACTGGACATGTGATAGAAATACTGCTGCTTCATTTAAATAAGTAATAACATCGCTTATCTTTTACCAGGACTTGTTATTTTAAGGATACTTTCTTAAAAAATAAAGGGAGAGAATGTATCCTGACAACTGGTTGTAGACTTGTATTTAGTACTCATTTTTAAAATAAAATATAAAATACTACATATTATACTTGATGGCTATAAATAGGTGTTACTTTGAATTATTTTCTTGTCATGAAGTTGTTTATTCCAAATAATGAGAAATTGTTCCTACTCCATGTTAATTCTCAGCATGGGATTTTTTCTTTTAGTGACAAAAGTAGTGAAACAAAAACTGTTGAAGAAGAGAAATGCAGGACCGCCTAACAAAGGTAAAGAGCTGTGTTTTAATTATTACATACAGAGATCCTTTTTTATCGTTATCATTTAAAACTAATCATTAAGACTCGTTTTTTAGTGTGTTCTTTTAAAAGACCATGAATATCAGTTGAGAAGCCTTATGTTGCATTTAAGGAGCTCTGGTAGCATAGTGCTTATGAGTTGGGCTGCTAACCTCAAGGTCAGCAGTTCGAAACTCCTGTTCCACAGGAGAAAAATGAGGCTGTCTGCTCCCGTAAAGATTTACAGCCTCAGAAACTGTATACAGACAGGGTTGCTATGAGTCAGAACCTAACCAACCAGTTGCATTTAGCAGAAGAGCAAGTCTGATGAGACTAACTAACTTTAATTAATGAGCTTTTTAAGTACCCCTTACTAAGGAGTGTGCAGTTTGCAATTTAAATTTCCTCTTATTAAAAAATATTTTTTGAGAATACAGACAAATTGGGACTATAATCCTTAATATACCACAGTTTTTAATGATGTATTAGAAGGATAAAATCTTTGTTTATCTTTCTAATACATCAAGAATAAAAGGTTCATTTGTAGCCAGTGTGCTGGAAGGAAGGAGATTAATAAGATTTTACCTATTTCAAATTCATGTTTGTGAACATTTCACAAGGTGGGAAACTGACAAATTTTTCTGTTTCCTATATCCTTAACAAATCTCTACTAGTTTTGTACAAGTATACTATATTGTTGTAATTTTATTTATTATTTATTCTTTTCAAATTTCAGTTAGAAAAGGAGTCTAGAGCATCACTGGGATTTCCTTTGTACATCCCATTGATAGAAATATGTTCTCATTTTCAAGTTCCCATGGGACATATATCTGAATTTCTCCACACTTCAGTAAGCAAAATAATCATGGACTGTAAAATATGAAAACCTTTGGACTGCCTTAAGAATGATCATTGTAATAGTATTGGTATGAATAGCATTTAACAATTTCTGTGAACGTAGTTAGGTAGTATTGATGGCTTTTGTTTATTGAGTGCCAATAGTAATGTTACCAGTACTAGAAGGATCAGTAGATCTTTCTAGCAACCCTGCAAGGGAGCTATTATCAGACAAGGAAACAAAGACAAATGTTAAGTAACTTTCCCAAAGACTCTGCTACATCTTTAAAGAGTAGGAATTCCAACTAAAAGCCTGTCTGACATATAATATGTTATTTTCATTATTGAATGTTGCTGCTTCCTAAAGTCATTCACAGATTTAAGCATGAGACATAACTAAAACTGGTTCAACCAACCTCGTATTTTAGACTGGATTTAGAACAGCGATAAGGCACTGATGAGTTTGCAGTGGAACGCTGTGATTCCCAGCTGGTCAGTTACAAAGACCAGCCAAGTCATGATGGGACAGCTGCCTGGTGAGAGTCCTCCATAGCTCAGTGCAGAAGGCGTCTTGAGCCTTCCACTTGAGCAGCTAATGTCCCCTTTGACCCCAAGAATTTAAAAACATTGTAGAAGTTCTTTCTTCGAAAAAAGGCCTTAGAGTGTTTTATTTTCCTATTAAACTATGTATTTGACTAGAATATGTAAATGGGTTTCAGTGCTTTAAACTTTTCCTATTTGGCCAATCCTAGAGGGTCACAGTGAGACAAATGAGGCAGTCTGCTCCCATAAAGAGTTTCAGCCTTGGAAACCCTAAGAAGCAGTTCTACTCTGTTCTATGAGGTCACTATAAGCCTAAATTGACTCAGCAGTAGAGGGTAGAAGCTCATCATTGGAAATTGGAATGTTTGCTGTTTCCCATGACAAGGAAATATTTCTTCTGTATATTCTACACCATTAGCATAGTTTTTAAAATCCCATTTCCTAGATCAGCATGGACTCAACGGCACCTAACCACACAACAATTAGAATTTGGCCTCACATTGTTGACTTTTAACCACAGTTTAGGAAAATTAAAAATGGAAAAAATGTAAATAAGTTAATTATCACAGCTAATAATTGTTTTTATTGTTGTGCCATCAACTTGATTCCGACTCATAGCAACCCTATATAGGGTTATTGAGGAGTGGCTGGTGAGTTTGAACCACCAACCTTGTAGTCCAATGCTTATCCTACAGCACCCCAGGACTCCTAAAAATCAGTATAAAAAAATTCTGAAGGTATTACTTCAGTACCCAAACATTTATTAAGACTTTAAAATGGTAATCTGTTTGTCAAAACATTATTTTTCATCCAGAGGATAATTTGTCATCTGTTTTCAAGTTACTCACTACATGTTCTTTGTGTATGTATGTATAATCAACCTTAATACTATTTTGTGATGTTTTAAGCATTATAACTGACTTGCCCAATATCAGGCATGGAGGATTCAAATTGTTTTATACGTAGATGAGGCTGTATTGCTAAATCATGTGATTATTTGTTTATTGAAATGAAAGCTACGTTAAAATATATTAAGGTAAGTCTCAAGAATTACTTCTAGGATTCCATACATATGGGTTTATTCCAAAAAAGGTTTAAACATGTCTCTGATCAATGGATGGCTGCAGACAAGTTCTCTCAGTAATACACTTATCTTACTCTTGTTAGAGTGTCTTCAACAAAAGGTCCAATCCAAACAATGACTTCCAAGGATATCTGTTGTTGGTCCAGTTAAATTCAAGGCAGAGAGATCAGCTCAAAAGATGGTTGGTTGGTTGGTTGGTTGGTTGGTTGGTTGGTTGGTTGGTTGGTTTGGAAAGGGGTAATTGTCATGGATTTTCTTGAAAGACACAGAATAATCACAGGTGCATATTAAGAAAAATTTTAAGAAAATGGAAAACTACATTGGTGAGAAAAGGGGTGGAAAGTTACGACAAGGATTTTTTTCCCCATCATGACAATGCACCAGCTTGTTCTTTAGGTTAGCAAGGCTATCCTTTAAGAATTTCATTGGGAAAACCTTACCCCATCCACACTACAGATTATTTTTCATTCCCCATTCACAAAAGTCATTTAAAACTAACATGACTTGAGTTCCTTGAAAATGTCAAAACTGCCATTTTGACATGGTGTAAATCTAAAGGCACAGAATTTTTTAGGGAAGGGTTAGATGGAATCACTATTTTCAGAAGTGGATAGATAGAAATGGAGGATATATTGAGGAAACAGTAGCTTCCCATTTTGATGTTTTTGTTTCATAAAAGTGTCTGGGATTTTGTTCCACCACTAGGCTATTATTTTGTCATACTGTGATGACTTGAGTGTTGCTGTGATGCTAGAAGCTATTTTAAATTATTTTCAATCTTAGGAGATGCACCCAGGGTGGACAGGGTTTCACTGGTACACCTAGACTAAGACTAGGAAGAAAGAGAGATGGTCTACTTCTGAATGTTTAGGCACTAAACACAGAACATTGTCAAATATAGTGCCAGAGGGTAAAAACATTTTAAATAATAACACCAGAACATTTTCAGATATGGTGCCAGAAGATGAGCCTGTCAGGTTGGAAGGCACTCAAAATACAACTGGGTAAAAACTGTCTCCTCAAAGTAAAGCCGACCATAATGACATGAATGGAGCAAAGCTTTGAGACCTTTGCTGATGGGCACAACTCAAAATGAGGGGAAACAACTGCAAACATCCATTAATAATTGCAACATAGACTATATGAAGTATGAATCTAGAAAAATTGGAAGTTGTCAAAAAAAGAAATGGAACACATAAAGATTGATAACCAAGGCATTAGTGAAATGGACTAATATTGAACATTTTGAACAGACAATTACATGGCTTACTTTGCTGGGAATGACAAATTGAAGAGAATCGGCATCACATTCATTGACAAAAAAACATTTCAAGGTGTCTTAAAGTACAATGCTGACTGTGATAGGATATCCATACGCCTACAAGGAAGACCAGGTAATACCAAAGTTATTACAATTTATGCACCAACCACTTACACCAGTGATTATAAAATTGAAGAATTCTACCAACTTCTTCAGTTTGAAATTGATCAAACTTGCAATTAAGATACATTGATAATTACTAGTGATTGGAACGTGAAGGTTGGAAACAAAGAGGGACGGATCAATAGTTTAAAAATATGGCCTTCATGATAGAAATGATGCTGGGGACAGCTTGATAACAATTATTCAAGATCAATTTATTCATTGCAGATACCTTTTTTATACAACATAAAAGGCAACTATACACACATACCTCACCAGATGGAATACACAGGAATCAAATTGACTACATCTGTGAAAAAACACATAGAGAAGTTCATCATCATCAGCCAAAACAAGGTCAGGGTCAGACAGCAAATTATTAATTGCACATGGGCAAGTTCAGGATAAAGCTGAATAAATTAAAACAAGCCCATGAGAGCCAAAATATGACCTTGACAAGATGTCAACCAAATTTAGAGAGCATCTCAAGGACAGATTTAATGCATTGGATACTAAACACAAAAAGACCAGAAGAGCTATGAGGTGACATCAAGAACTTAATACAATAAAAAAGTATAAGGGCATTAAAAAGAAAGGACAAAAATGAATGTCAGAAGAGACTTTGAAACTTGCTCTTGAGCATGGAGAAGCTAAAACTAATGGAAGAAATTAGGAGGAGGTAAAAGAGCTCAACAAAATATTGCTAAGGGCAGCTCAGGAAGACAAAACAAAGTATTAGAATGGAATGTGCAAAGACTTGGAGTTAGAAAAACAAAAATTCAAATTTTGACTACTGATATTGAAGTATTCTGTGGGCAAAATGCTGAATGATGCAGAAGGCATCAAAAGAATGTAGAAGGAACACAGAGTCACTGTGCCAAAAAGTATTGGCTGATTTTTAACCATTTCAAGAGGTTGCATATCATCAAGAATCAGTGATACTGAAGGGAGAAATCCAAGCTGCTCTGAAGACACTAGCGAAAAACAAAGCTCTAGGGATTGACAGAATACAAATTTAAATCTTTCAACAAATTGATGTAGCACGGGAAGGCATCACTCACTGTTGCCAAGAAAAATTTGGAAGACAGGTAACTGGGCAACTGA